GAGTTTGTCAACACAATAAGTTTTGATCACTAGTCGGCTTCCACACTAAAGTTCTTGGTCCTATCAAGACACAACCCACCCCCACCCCACCCGCCCACCCCCAATACTGCCAAACTTAAAGGACTTGACATGATTAGGAAATAAGGCCAAATAGTCTGGCATGGATACATCTATTTAAAATCTCTTGAATTTGTTTTGGAAGTGTTGAAGGTGGAGAGTGTTAGAGCCAAAAATCATCTTGGACTTGACGAAACCCAATAACGAATAAATATATCACGGCCCAATGCCTCAACCCAATCCCGATTGGACCTACGCTTAAAATCACCTTGCGAACTACTCACTCTATGAGTTAGGCTATCCTATAAGTTAAGCTAAACTGGGTTTTAGTCCATTAACCCGCAACAATCTATAAATAGAAAATCATAATCCCATTCTATTTCCTCTTCTACTAAGATTCCAAATCTTGCTCAAACTATTAAACTTGATTTGATAAGGTCAAGAAATCATATCTCTTTCATGATAGAGATTATCTCCCAAAATAGGACTTAGTGTCTTACTAAGATTCTAAACCTTATTTAAACTATTAAACTTAATCTGATAAGGTCAAGAAATCGTATCTCTTTCATGATAGGGATTATCTCCCAAAATAGGACTTAGTGTCCTACTAAGATTCCAAATCTTATTTAAACTATTAAACTTAATCTGATAAGGTCAAGAAATCGTATCTCTTTCATGATAGGGATTATCTCCCAAAATAGGACTTAGTGTCCTACTAAGATTCCAACCCCTTGGGTTCACTATAAAAACAGAGGCTTGCCCTCCCATAGTCAACTCAAAACCATCTATTTGCTCCTAAAGTTCTTGCTCCCAAAGTTCTTGCTCCCAAGAACCCGATGCCTCCGCCGTAGTCCTAGCCTTCGACAGGACTCCTGATCTAGTGGATTGTCAGTGGCCTCAACCTCACGGGATCAGACCCTATTTTCATGACGGTAGATTTTTTGCATCTACAGTTTGGCGTCCACCATGGATCGGGCAGGGCCGATCCGAAGGTGTGAACTCGTGAATCGGGCAGGGCCGATCCGAAGGTGTAAACTCATGAATTGGGCAAGGCCGATCCGAAGGTGTAAACTCGTGAATCGGGCAGGGTTGATGCGTTCACGGGTCGATCCGAAGGTGTAAATCTGTGGATCATGCAGGGTTGATCCGAAGGTGTAAATCCGTGGATCGGGTAGTGCCTATCCGAAGGTGTAAATCCGTTGATCGAGCAGGGTTGATCCGAAGGTGTAAATCCGTGTAGGGTCGATCTGAAAGTGTAAATCTGTGGATCAGGCAGGGCCAATCTGAAGGTGTAAATTCGTGGATCGAGCAAGGTCGATCCAAAAGTGTAAATCCGTGGATCGAGCAGGGTCGATCCAAAGGTGTAAGCAGGGCCAATCCGAAGGTGTAAATTTGTGGATCGAGCAGGTCAATCCGAAGGTGTAAATCTGTGGATTGAGCAGGGCCAATCCGAAGGTGTAAATCTTTGGATCGGGCAGGGTCGATCTGAAGGTGTAAATTCGTGGATCGGGTAGGGTCGATCCGAAGGTGTAAATTCGTGGATCGGGTAGGGCCAATCCGAAGGTGTAAATCTCTGGATCTGGCAGGCCAATTTGAAGATGTAAATTCGTGGATCGGACAGAGCCGATCTGATGGTGTAAATCTGTGAATCAGGCAAGGCCGATCTGATGGTATATGCCAAGTTGAGTTTGTATGGAGCTTGCAGTCGAGTCGGCGTGATCGACTTGTAGTTGAAACCTTTGAGAGTTATGTGCCCCAGTCAGCGTGATTGACTTTGTAGTTGAAAACATTTGATTGAAGCTGGAGCAGTGGCATGTAGGGATGTATACGAGCCGAGTCGAGCCGAGTATCTCGGTACTTGAGCTTGGCTCGTAATGAATCAATCGAGCTTCAGAACTCGAGCTCGAGCTCAAACGAGTTGGAGACAGACTGCACTCAAGATTTAAAATTACAGTACTTTTCACAAAATAAAAATATTTAATATAAATCAATATTTTATTTAATTTTTCTCTCTTCTCTTTCTTCTTTTTCATTATATAAATGTATATTTTATTAATTTTTTTCTCTCCTTTCTCTTCTCTTTCATTCTCGTTCTTTTCAAAACTCTCTCTCTTCTCTTATTTCTCCTTGTTTTCTCCACGTCTCTCTCTTCTCCTCACTTCTCTTATTTTCTCTTCTCAAAACTTTGTTGACCACAGTTGGCCGCCGTGTGGGGACCTTGAGGCAACCAGATCTGGCTGCCGCAAGGCCCTCACATGGCAGCCAAGCAACAAATAGGAAGAACTGAGGAGACAAGATTTGCTTTACAACCCCAAATAAAGAGATCCATCCTGCCCACAAAACAAAAAAAAAAAAAAAAAAAACCCTCAATCCAACAAAACCGTAACAAACAAATAGAAACAATTTATAAACCATAATATAATATGCATAATTAAAATAAGCAAAATTAGACATATTTCTAAACTAATGCCAAAAAAAAAAAAAAAAATTGAAATTGATGATAAAATTTGTACAAATGGAAGCCTTTTTAACATACCCCTGAAAATTCTTGAATGTTTGGTTGATTTACGGCGAATGGCAGCAAAGATTTAGGACTTAGGGTTAATGAAAAATTGCAAATGGGTTTTACTTTTTCAGTTTTTGTTTCAGCTTTGATTGAAAAATTGAAATGGGTTCTGCACTTCTGCGTTTTTATCTATATGGGTGCTATTTGCAATTTTAACAACCTTAAAATAAAAAAGTTTTGAAATCTTGTAAATTACCCCCTAAGCTCGCGAGCTTGACGAGCTGAGCTCGGCCCGAATCGAACTCAGCTCGTCACTATTCAAGAGCTGCTCGAGCTTGGGACGAGCCGAGCTCGAGTAGCTCGCGAGCTCTTCGGCTCGCGGCTCATCCCTAGTGGCATGCATGTTTTAAGCAAATAGTCGAATGAAGAGTTAATATGCATGATGTGCATGTGTTATGGATTGAATAAAGAGTGAGCTAAATGAGAAAATGGGCTGCATGTATTTAAGTAATGGGCCGAATAGAGAAAGATTTAACCAAATAGAGTGGTAGTTAAAAGGAGACAACGACACATACATTTCCCTTTCAAGTGCTGTCACCCATGCTTGCTGGACCGAGTGGAGAGAGGGGTGTTACTTTCTATGTCGGAGCTGAACCAGTTGAAGTTGAGTTGGCACGTGATTCACTTTTGGGCTGATCCGAATGGGCACGTTGATATTATATGTGCAGACCCAAATATCATTGAGTGGACTACTCATGTTGTTTAGTGGTGCTGAGTTGCAGTGGAGAGTGGAAAGTTTGCAAATAGCGGGGATCGTGAGGGCTTTTGTGACAGGTGTGCTGCAGATTGTGGTGTGAAGGTGGTTTGAGTTGATATGTATTGGTTCGGAAGGGCCGATGGTTCGAGTTTGGAGTTTTGGAATATGGTGGGGTAAGGACATTAGGCGAGAGTGGGGTGGCGTCACTTAACTAGGTTTTGTTTGGGGGGTTTCTCTTCGTGTTTAGTAGATGACTTTAGGTGTTTTGAGAGGATTACTGCTGTGTTTTTAGGATTTTACTGTGTGATTGGAGAAGCTGTTACGGCGATTTTAGGAGAACAGATGGACGGGTTTTGGGTTTCAAAGTGGTGGCAAATCTCCGTGAAGTTGAATTGGGATTGGATCAAGGCTAGTCGAGTTTGAGTTACCTTCTAATGGAGCGGAGGTCCTGGAGATGCTGGTGTATTGCGACATCTTCTTGAATGAACAAATTGACTGGTTTTGTCGCGGGTAATGCATTGCAAAGCTCTGATGATGGTGGGGGAACACATTGTTAGTCAAAAGGGGTTTCGTGTCACCTCCCATGTTGTAAGTCGTCGTTGGCAGATGATTGTCAGGGCCCCATGGTGGGTGCCAAACTGTAGACATAAAAATCTACCTATATGGAAAGGGGGTCTGATCCCGTGAGGTTGAGGCTACTAGCGATCCGCTGCACCTGCACACGTAGAGAAACAAACGTGAAGTGACTGCAAACACCGGGGTGGTGTTTGCAGTAGGTACTCCAACGCTCAAGTCAGTAAGACTGAAAGCGGCTAATTTAGTAAGGGCTAGGGAGTAGAGATATTACTAGAAGTCTAGTCGGGGACTGTGACTACGGCGGTGATGTGAAGTTCTCAAGTAGGAACTCCGGGTGTGAAGGTGTAGTAAATTGTACGTTGTGAGAGGGTTGACTTCTGTTTATATAGTGACTATCTGGTCTCCCATTCCTAGTGGGAGTAAGAGTCCTAGAGTGACTCTGATACGAACCCTAGAGGAGTTAGGGCGGTGGTGAGCTGTCTTATCAGTGTTCGAATAGGAAGGTGATCCTGAACATGAAAGTAACCTCAAATAGGAAGTTGATCAGGAATAGGAAAGTGATCTGTGAGGGCCATGGGCTCTGAACTCGCTCATAGGTCCAAGAAGTGAGCTGGGATTGGGAGGCTTGTGTCCAGATGGTTTGGGCTGGTTGTATCTCGTATCAAATGGGCCTAATCTGGACTGGGCTACATCGGGATTTGGGCTTGGTCTCTTCCACACTATCGGACCCGTTTTCCTATTTGAGTCAAGGATGATTTTTGGACCTAACAGAGAGTTATATAAGATACATATACATAAAGATCATCAAAATGGTCCAACAATAGTATGACAAATACAAAGAAATTTATAATATAACTGAGTAGAGAGTTAGTTTTGAAACGGAATCAATACCATGAAATCCACTGATCGATTAGCCAAGTAATTTGGTCTAAAAAGTTATGGTCAAACAATCATCTATATGGTAAAATTTAATTTGATTGGATTCATATTTCATAAACAACGGAAGAAAAATTACTACAAATCTATCAAAACTAGACCCAAAAAATAAAAGAAATCAGAAGGGTGGGTTTACGTAACCCTAAAACCAAATGAGACGTTTTAGTTTTACATAATTAAACAAGCATTTGGATTCTCATCACTGAACATCGTTAATACTTCACTCTCTTTACAAAAATCAAACAACCATATCTCACCAACTGGTCGCTTGCCATTATTTCCTTCATCAATCCCAGGTTTTGGCGACCCTTTCTTCTTATTATTATTAACCACAATCTCCACTCTCTTCCCTGTCTTTTTCTTCAGTTTCTTCATCACTTTTTGTGGATCAATCCGCCCCGTAACCACAACTTCGTGCTTCTTCATATTTGTAGTAAATTTCTCAACCCCTTACAAAAAAATATTAATTAATTGTATTATACTATGGTTTACATCATGAAAAAATTGAATTAATGTACGTACCTTTCAACTTGGAAATGGCCGTAGCGACTGTTCTTTCACATGCATTACAATGCATTGATACCTTAAATTCTGCAACAACCAACTATATATATATATATATGTAAAGAAGCAAAGATATATAATCATACTTGTGAATGAGAGTTTAATTAACTTTGAGAATGAGTGTTTAATTAACTTTGAAAAAATCTTACTTCCAGATTTTCATTTTTCTTCTTTTTGCCCATTGGACCTGTTAAAAGGAAGATACTATACATTTAAGTAGAATGAAGCAAGTGAAGAGTTCGAGCGATCGGTCGTTTTCCTCACAAAGGGCAGTTTAGAATTTATAGGCAATAAGAGAGCGGTTAAGGCAGTTATATGTTGAAGACAAATTACGAACAAGAGATCAGTGTTATGTCTGAATGGAACATGATATGAGATTGTTTTAAACCGCCTATTAAACAGTTGCGTCGGATTGAAACTTTGATCGATTTCCACAGTTACCCAAATCAACCATTTCTCAAGTCAAATTAAGTTTCAATTATTCTATTGAACCTCTCTCTCTTCGTAATTGTTAATACTTTTTAATTTAGTCTAGAAAAAGGATAAAGAGTTATTGAATCGACAATATTATTAAATATTATATATATATATATATATATATATATATTAATTTCAAGACCTTATTATGAATTAAAAAGATCCCTAATCTGTAGATTATTTATATGAGCATAGTACGTATAACATTAATGGATGTGATAAATTAGATTTATTGCAAGAAGAGGAGAGTTTTGCCCCCTAGTGACCAATTATTTAATCACAAAGACAACAAAAATTAACACATGCTTTTATTATTTTCAGAAATCATTACTTGTAGCGACATACGATACATTTGCTGTACGTAGCTATACGTAATATTACAATTTATTATTCATCATGCGTACAAAATATTAGTAAACATGTATAAAAAGTCAGCACGTCCGAGGTGACCGATGAAGTGAGAAATGGTAGATTCTTATGTTCATTGAGGATTCACCAGGCGACATTGTTTCCTGATTTCTCCAGCATTTCCTGCTCCTATGTTTCCCATCTTCTTCATAGAATCAGCAAAAGCCTTGAAGAAATCTTTTGACTTCTGAAGCTTCTCCACTTTCTTTTCTGCATTTTTATCCGTAAGCAGTGCAGCATCAGATTGCAATAGGCCCTTGTTTTGGAGCAGGATATTGAAGTAATTGCTATCAAATGTGGAGGAACTATTAGGGTCAAATTCAACAGTTGTGGCACGATTATTCGGTGGGCACTGAACTTTTAGGAATTCAGCGTAAGTTGCATTTAGGGAAGGATCGACATCACTGTTTTCGGTAAAGTTGTAAAGCCTATTTGAGAACGTTGCGCAACGAGCAACACCAATGGTATGGGCACCTGCCAGCTCAAGGGCGTTACATGATTTCAGTTTTCACAACTCTTGAATCTTTGTACAATTGTACGTACTTGCATTAAACATATGAAAGTCTGTAATTAAATAAAATAATTATACCTGATAGAGCGACAAGATCGTCATCGTCAAGACCTTTACTGGCAAATAAATTATGAAGTGTGGTGAAGTTTGAGAATGATGAAGGGATATTGTCTCCAGTGACTTCAGATGCAAGGGAAATATTGCCATCTTTTCTTCCAGTAAGCACAGGCCACAAAGGCTTAAACTGCAATTAAACCATAGTACACATATTTTACCTTATGCTTCTTATATAGTTCAAATAATATATAGCTAAGGCCAGGGCATACCGGCGGGATGGAATCATAATCAAGATAAGGCAAGAAGGAAACAGAATCACGAGCAGCCAAGGCGAGAATATCAGCACAGGAAACAACTGCAGGACAGAGCTTCTCTATTTCAGTTTTGATTTCATCAATTTCATCATAACCTTGCAGGGTTGTATGAGCTAGTGCATCCTTTTCAGCCTTGGTGACATTGTCCACCGCATCCAGCAATATAGAACCATCGCAACCCTGCCATGCATTCCATATCAAGTTCAAAACAATAAAGTGTTAAGATCAAACTTAAATACTGTAAATTCTGTCAAGATCAAACTTAAATACTGTTAGATTTGGTAAATCTAAATTACACATTATCGAATCATGACATTATAAGTTTAGCTGCATGCAATTAATTGGTTCCATGAGGCGATAGGGATGACATACATACCCTAATAAAACAATCATGGAAATGCAGTCTAAGCAGTTTAGCAGCCAAAACAGGTCTAGCTTTAAGTTGTCTCCATGTGATGTTCCTCACAAGCTCCTCAGCTTTTGGACAACTTGTCTCGTATTGGTTCTGAACCAACGCCGGCCCTTCTGCATTACAAACCCGAACCACACTAAACACAAGAAGAGAAACCATTAAAATGAATCTGCTATTTCTAGACGTCATTTCTGCTGGTTGTAGAATAGAAATCAACAAGAAGGCAAAAGGCACACAATTTGAAGAACAAGAGTGTGCCTTTTATATGCAAGCACATCAACACTCAATGGAAAACCAAATTTTTTTCATTAATCAAGTCAAAGAATAAAAAATCAGCAAGTTGTGTCTAACCATAGCTTGTTTGGGTTTGGTCAAATTAAAAACCCACTTGTTTGTTTAATTATTCCTTCCAAACTCAACGGTTGATCTCATCTCTGATTAGTTTAATGGCTTAGACATTCTTATTCGATGAAGAGATATATACACGAGACTTAAAAAAGGAGGTGAAGGGTGACGACCTTTCCATTTTCACTATTCTTTTATTAATCTAGTACACGATGGCTATAGCCGAAGGAATGAATCGTTTTGATCTACTCCAAATTAATAAATTTACAATAATATTATTCAGCGCATATACTTTAAAATATATCATTAATTAGAACCAGCGAAAAATTGTGTCTAATATCCAATTTACACGATTTATCAATATGGGATGTATAGACCGACCAAGAAATAAAAGAATTTATTTAAATTTAATGTATTTGGGGTCAATATATAAACAAAGCAATGTTGTCTAACAGCTGTCTCTTGATAATCAAGCAAGTATCTCATAATAACTTAATGTATTTCGTATGATCTGGCGCCAACTGTAACAAACTTGGGAACGTGGAGCCATGATTCTTATATATATAAGGTTTAACATCGACAGGTCATTGAAATTAAAAAAAAAGAAAAAAGAAAAAAAGTCATACTTTGTTAGCTCTCTAATTCTATATTAATCCCACGTGCCATGTAGGGTGATGTTGGACTGGTCGTGGCTGATGCAAATATGCAATGTTTAATTTTCAGGCATCGATGGAGGCCACTGAACTCTATTGCATATTTTCAGTAGTATTTCTAAATTATATCTCTTGCTAGCTGTTCTGTTATGTAAACTCTTCATTTTGCATTATATACATATACATATGCCAAAAGTTATTGTGGTTTTGAGAACTCTTACTAAATATATCTCATAATCTTTCATGTAAAACAGGAAGATTAGATGCTTGTGCTAGGTCAAATATCAGTATTAATAGAAAGGACCTAAATTAATGAAGCACTCAGTATATTGACTACAAGTGTTAATCAACTACAAGTCGAGCAATGCAATTAACCTTCAACCTTTAATTAATTTGTACAACAATTAAACAACGATAAATCACGAACCAGTTTGGCATTTCGTTCATCAATCACAACTTTTAACAACTGTTTTTCCTTATTATATAAATCTTCAACCTTCAATCTTCACTCTCTTCCCTATTTGTTTTGTAAAATTTCTTCAACATTGTAAGTATTTTTGTCAAATTATGAATTCAGTGTAGTGATATTGATTTTTGATATCATAATATCACTTTGTTAATGCACAATCATTTTATATTTTTGTAGGTGTCATGACACTAAGTGTTCGTGTGATGACACCCTCCTGACCAGATTTCCTTTAAACATGTTACGTCTCTATTTGATGTTAGAATTTTATCCTTATCTGAGATATGTGTAAGTGATCCTTGTACACTTATAATTAGCTCATTAGGTGTACCAGAAAATTTGTTTTGCTTAATTTATACTGGTTCCTAGAAAGTTTGGTGAAAACTTTCTCAAAATGGCTAAACACAAAAAGTGCTTTTTGGTTGGCTATCCCTTGCATTGGTGTGGAAGTTTCTTTATATTTGTCTTCTCCAATGTATTTTATTTCAAGCCTAAATATACCTTTGAAAGTTCTCTGCATATTTTGTTAGGATTATTTTAGAATTAGGATAGAATTAAAATAATGAGGTTAAATCCTTTCATAATTATGCTATTATCTAATTAGAATATCTATCGAATTAAGCAATTTGAGTCAATTAGAATAGTGTGTAAGGCTATATGAAGCCTAAACCAATTAGGGTTTGGCAATCAATAATCAATAAAGTTCTCTTCCCTTATACTTTTAATTCTTATTCTTCTTGGAGATTCTGTTTCCTCATATAAAGCAAAAACACTATCCTAACAATTGGTGCTTTCGTTCTCTTTTCATGGTTGACCCTTCTTGCCTAAAGGCTCTGGATGAACTTGTCTCTCAACATGGGGCCAAATTGAATGTTCAAGAGGGAAAACTTGATTCCTTCAAGGGTCTTTTGAAGGCTATTGTACTAAAACAGACTGCCATTGTCACCAAGCTAGAATAAGGACGACAACAGAAGGAGACCATGGGGGACAGTGATGCGAGTGGTGATGGCACTCTCTTGCTCGGCTCGAGTTCGTGTTCTTCTAGGTCTGCACCACCTTTTAAGCCTTTCTGATTGGAGGTGCCCCTCTTTGATGACACAGATCCACATGGCTAGATGTTTAAAGTTGAGTAATTCTTTGATTATCATAATATCCCTACCGAGCAACGGTTAACAATATTTTCCTTCCACATGGATGGGTCTGCTCTCTCATGGTGTCGCTGGATGCATTCCAATTGACAGATCCGTTCCTGGAGTTCTTTCCTGTAGGGTTTAGATGTTCGTTTGGGCCTTCGAATTTTTTTAATTACTAGGGGCAGTTGGCCAAACTGACTCAAGCAGGTTCTGTAGTAGCTTATTAAATAGAATTTGAGGAACTCTTTAATCAAGTTTTTGGCCTTCCAGCTAAGTTCCTTCTAAGTTGCTTCATATCAGGGCTCAAATCGGAAATCCAAAAGGAGATGCAAACTTTTCAGCCTCACACCCTCAACCACACCATGAGTCTTGCACATTTGCAAGAGGACTAGCTATAGGATCTACACCTATACTTGCAATCCGTTGGCCCATATCTTGGGATCCTAATAAATCAGCTCCTAATGTTCCTTCAACATAGCAGACCCTTTTGTCGACACCACACCAATTGGGTTCCTTGCCTGTTAAGCGACTCACGACGGCACAAATGTAAGAAAGACGCGACAAAGGTTTGTGCTATAATTGCAATGAGCACTTTCAACCTGGGCATTGCTGCAAGGCCAATTTCTTTCTCTTGCTAATGGAGGAGGATGATGATGAGCGCAAGGATGAACCACGGTAGCTGTTATTGATGGTGTCGCACCTTGCAACCTTGAGGATAAGGTTGAGCCAGAGGGGAAGACAATGTTAGGATTATTTTAGAATTAGGATTTAATTAAAATAATTAGGTTAAATCCTTTTATAACTGTGCTATTATCTAATTAGAATATCTCTTGAATTAAGCAATTAGATTTGAATTAGGCAATTAGAGTCCTTTTAGTATTAGAATAATGTGTAAAGCTATATAAAGCCTAAAACAATTAGGGTTTGGCAAGTAATAATCAATAAAGATCTCTTCTCTTAAACTCTTAATTCTCATTCTTCTTGGTGGTTCTATTTCCTCATATAAAGCAGAAACACTATCCTAACATATTCTTTGAGGTTTCTTTTGTTTTGAATCAGGTTTCATACGCTTGGTAGGTTTACAAATACCTTTGTTATACTTTGTTTTATTCATGGCTGAAATGTTGTTTCTTGTTGATGCTTGACGGAGTTTCAAGCTTTTGGAGCTGAAGTGCATCTTCGGTGTTGAACCTTGAGAGGAGCTCAAGGCTGACTAGGTGGTCTCATGAATTGAAGCTAGATGTGGTAGTTTGAAGTTAAACTAAAAGGTGAAGTTTGAAGTGTTGATATAACAGAGAGTGTTTTTCAATTGATGCTTAACTTGGACTTTGTAATTGAACTATAAGTGTTTATCATAGTGGATTAGCTTCGTCTAGACTTAGTCCCATGGATGTAGATAGGTTACTGAACCATGTAAATTTGCTTTGCATGCTTTACATTATGCCATGAATGTTTTTGTTCGTGTTGATGATTAATGAGCAACCATTAAGAACAAAATGAACAAGATTAATCCATTCTACATTAGTTTAATCAACTTGGTAAAGTGATTAAAGCTTTCAAACACTTTATGTGGATCAATCCTCCCCGTTATTGCATCTTTGAGGCGCTTGTTTAATTTGTGCTTGATTTCACTAATCTTTTATTCTGTTAGAGGATTGGTTGTCACCTCCTTGATATGTACATATAATAATTTTAATCAATTTCTCATTTATCAGCTGATGGAAATATGATAATTAGTTCGAAATGCTAACATTAATTAATAAAAAAAAGTCATAATATTACAACTAGTATGGGGAGGTCTTTGGATTTTTCAAATTAAGTGGGGGACTAGGGTTTTTCGTAAAACCTGAGGGGAGGTGGAGGGAGATTGCTCTGTGAACAATTAACAAACGGATGGACAATTTTTCATTGGAGGATAAATATCACATGTAAAAGACCGTAAAGAGCGGAGAGTTTTGCTTTTAAGTGACCAATTAATTGATTAGGATGTTAAGAGAAATTACTATTCATTGTTTCAAGATATCATAATACTGAAGGTGGTTGTGATGCGTACATTAACACATATTTTTTTTTTTTGGAAAAAATAAATTTAATAAAAGAAGAGAAACTACATAGAAACTAGGGGCATACGCTCAAAAGAGATTTAAAGAAGACGAAAAAGAGACGAAATCATCTTTTTGGACAAAAGAATGGGAAAAAACGCCCAAAAAGAAGCACGCAGACCCCAAACCAAGGAAGGAGAAGAGCAGAGGCATCATAACGGAGCTCACAAGCTCAAAGCAAACAGAGAAGAGAAAATGGGAACAGGCGCCCAACAAGAGTACATAGCACAGAACAAACAATATATTTGCTGTAGCTATACGTAACATTTACAATTTATCATTTCTCATGCATATAGAACATTCATAAACATAAACAAAAAAGTCAGTCCAAAGTGACCGATTGATGTGGGATATGTTATAGCTTCTTATTTTAATTGAGGATTCACTAGGCGACATTTTTTCCTGAATTCTCCAGCATTTCCAGCTCCAACGCTTCCCAACTTCTTAATAGAATCAGCAAAAGCCTTGAAGAAACCTTTTGACTTCTGAAACTTTTTCACTTTCTTTTCTGTGTTTTTATCAGTGAGCAGTGTAGCATCAGATTGCAAGAGGCCCTTGTCCTGGAGCAGAATATTGAAGTAATTGCCATCAAATGAGAAGGAACTTTTAGGATCAAGTTCTACAGTTGTGGCAGGATTAGTTGGAATGGGTGGGCATTGATCTTTTAGGGTTTTAGCTTAAGCTTCATCTAGGGAAGGATCGGTATCGCTGTTACCGGTGAAGTTGTAAAGCCCATTTGAGAATGTTCCACAACGAGCAACGCCAATGGTATGGCCACCTGCCATTATTTCAGTTCACAAAACTCTTGAATCTTTGTACGTTCTTGCATTGTGTTATTCATGGAACTCAAATAAAAGCATATGACATTAAGTTTGTGAATTAAATAATTATACCTGATAGAGCCACAAGATCGTCATCGCTAAGACCTTTACCGGCAAATAGTTTCTGAAGTGTGGTGTAGTTTGAGAATGGTGAAGGGAGGTTTCCATTGGCTTCAGATACAAGGAAAATATTGCCATCTTTTCTTCCAGTGAGCACTTCCCACATGGGCTCAAACTGCAAATAATTAAAACATTATTTGCTTAGCTTAAGCCCTAAGCCGTAGTTAAATAGACCGTCAATATCTGTAGCTCTCCCTTGATAATCAAGCAAGCGGCCAAGGCATGTGTAACCTAGGTAACGACCACAATACATTATCTAGATTTGTTTATGGTGGGTTTTAGAAGAAGGTTATTATCTAGATGTGTTTACGAGGGGTTTTAAAAGAAGGTTAGCAAGAGTTTTTTTTTTTTTTTTTTGGTGATCTTCTCTTGATATGTGTATATGAAACAAAAGAAGTAATTATAGTTATAACATTTTTTTTTTCTTTTGTCTCTTATGCACTTATTAAGACGAGGGTGTGAGAGGCGAAAAGAGCGTTTTTACCATTTCAATTTTTTTTTTTTTGTTTTCTGGTTAAAAAGTAATATATAAAGAATGAAAAATGAGTCCTTAAAAAGAAGACCCCTACACAATCAAGGTCCTTAGACAGGCCCAAGCAACCAAGCAAGACAAAACAAGAGGAAAGGCATGGATTTACAATCCATACTAGCTACCTAACTGATCAAAGAAGTCTATTACAAAAAGACCAGCAACACAAAAATTGCAGGGCTTCTGAAAAACAGATCAACTGTACAAGCTGTACAAAAAAACAGCCACCAAAAAGAGCCCAAAACCCAGCACCACAAACGCAATAATCCAGCGTAAGAGTGCAACCCCAAGCAAAAGAAACCCAGCTCCACAACTGCAAAATTCCTATCCACCAAAAATGCACAAGCATAAAGACCAGAGAAAAAAGGAGTAAAGGACTCATGTTGGAGGCATCCAAAACCTGAATGAAAAATCTATGCAAACTTAAAGCAACCAAGAAAAAACTATGCAAAAAAGAAATCTTCAGCTGAGAAAAAGGCAATCTCGCCAGCAATAAAACCAGACCAGCCAGCAAGCAGAGCAAAGCAGCAGCACCGAAAAGTCCAAACAGGCAGCCGACTGAACTGATAAAAAGAGCCACCACACCAGCAGAGGCAATAGGCCTAGCACCCAACCAAAAGAGGACAGAAGCCCAACGCCAGATCAGAAAAAACACAGAATCTGCACTAACCAATTATTAAAGCAGACCTTTGGGCAATTCGTCCAGATAGAATGCACAAACATAAGCCAGGGAAACTAACCCTCTATCAGCATAAAAACAACACCCAACAAAAACCAAATAAGCACCTTCTTGGGTAATTAAGAGAATATATATTCTTTTATTTTTAGAGTGCGTTTGGTTCGGAGAATGTTTTATTATTGAAAAGATATGATTACTTTCGAGATAAATTATCTTGAAGATTACAGGAGAATGTTATACCAATATGTTTGATTAGAGTAGTGAGTATAAATAATTAATATGTTTAGTTGGAAAGAATAAAATATTATTGATAGAAGTTTTTACTGATTTACCCTTCATTTTTATAATAATAATAATAATAATAATATTATTATTATTATTATTATTTAAATAAATTCCTTTAACCCCTTATATTTGAGAATTTAGCTAAAATACCCTCAGCCATCCAAGACCACTGCCGGCCACCGGTGTCAGTCACCAAAACGAAGCAACCAGTGAGATTAGGCTAGCCGTGCGCCGTTTTGGCTGTTTTCAGCCAGATCGAAAGCACACTGATATGGGCTATTTTCGGCTAGATCGAAGGCCAAAAACAGCCAGATTGTCATGGATCTGGTCGAAAAAGGCCACAATTGGCTAATCTATTCTGGTTGTTTCTGGCCAGATCCACGGCGATCTAGTGGTTTTTGGCTTTCATTCTGGTTGAAAACAGCGAGATCAGCACACGGTCGGCCAGATCCTGCCGGTTGTGTGTCAATATGGCGATTATTGCTGGTGGCTGACGATGGAGGTTGGCTGCCGGCAATGGTCTTTAGTGGCTGGGAATATTTTGTTAACTTTTAAACTTTTTGTGGCTGGGGTGTTTTAGCTAAATTCTAAAATATAGGAGTTCTGGGTTATTATTATTTGGTAGACATTTGAGTGCAATTATATCAAGAATGGTATTTAATTAAAGGCAAAATGGGTATAAAAGCTCAATTAAAACTCGATTAATCGAACTCGAATTTGAATTCTACATTTAGGTATCGAGTTTGAGTTTGAACTCGATTTATCAGGTCAACCAAGCTTGAACTCGAACTCGAACTTGATACTCTAGCAATCGAGTCGAGTTCGAGTACCTAGATACTCAGCTCGATTGACTCGATTTCACCCCTAGTTGGAAGCCCTATGAACAATTGACAAATGGATGGACAATTTTTCATTGGACAGATTTCGCGTGTACAAGACCATAAAGAGAGGAGAGTTAATTTGCTCTTCAGTGTCTAATTTATTGATAATATTTTTATTTTGAGATAAGATCATCACTTTTCCCGGGATATAAGTATCCAAGGGAATTGCAATCAGCTGGCTAGCTTCTTTTTTCATTTACTATTCACTACGCGACATTGCTTCCTGATTTCTCCAACAGCTCCTGTCAGCACTCCGATGTTTCCCATTTTTACCATCGATTCAGCAAACTTGATGTAGAACAGTTTTGAGTTCTGTAACGTTGCTACTCTGATTGCTGCCCTTAAATTTGTGAGCAGTGCAGCATCGGATTGGAATAGACCCTTCTTCTGGAGAAGGATTTTGAAGTAATTGCTATCAAATGATACGGAACTTTGCGGATCCATTTCCACAGTTGTGGCAGGATTGGCTGGATTGGGACATTGAGCTTTTAGGATTTCAACGTAAGCTGCATTAAGGGAAGGATCAGCTTCACCGGTGCCGTTGAAGTTGTAAAGTCTAGCAGAGAATGTTCCACAGCGAGCAACACCAATTGAATGGCCACCTGCACAAGGACGTTAGTTAAGTTCAGAATAATTGCATTTATGTAACTAGTAAGAACATACGAAATTTTTGTACCTGATAGTGCCACAAGATCGTTAACGTCAAGACCTTTACTGTCAAATACGTTCATGAGGGTCGAAAAGTTTGAGAATGGCGAAGGGACGTTTCCGTTTGTTTCAGAAGCAAGGGAAGTATTGCCATCTCTTCTTCCAGTAAGCACAGGCCACATAGGCTTAAACTGCAATTAATTAAACCATTAAAATATTATGTTACTTAGATTTTAATTTCCATTGTTTTTGGTTCAAATTAATATATAGTTAAGGCCAGGGCATACCGGCGGGATGGAATCAGAATCATGATCAAGAAATGGCAAGAAGGAAACGGAATCACGAGCAGCCAAGGAGAGAATATCAGCACATGAGACAACTCCAGGGCAGAGCTTCTCTACTTTGGATTTAATTTCATCAATTTCAACAAAACCTTGCAGTGTTAGATTAGGTCTTGCATCCTTTTCAGCCTGGGTATTGTCCACTGCATCCAGCAATACAGAAGCATCGCAACCCTGCCATGCAAATTCAAATTCACAACGACATACAAAGTGTCAGTTATATATACATAAAATCATGCATAATTCATAAATTAGATAATATATATTTAGAACGTCATGTAGTTCTAAATATATTATAATGTTTATTGCCTGCAGTAATTGGATCATTGAGGCAATATGGACACATACACATACCCTGACAAAACAATCGTGGAAATGCATCCTAAGAAGTTTAGCACCCAAAGCGGGGTTAGTTTTAAGTTTGCTCCATGTGATGTTCCTCACAAGCACCTCAGCTTCTGGACATTTTGTCACGTAAAAGTTCATCTTCAACTTTGGGTGCGGCTGCTTTGCATTACAAACCTCAGCAACTCCAAACACGAGAAGAGAAACCAAGAAAACGAATATGCTATTTCTAGACATCGACATTTCAGCTCTTCTAGGGAAGACGAAAGAAATGAGCGATAAATCTAGCACCTGCTTGTACGTAATAGAATAGAATTGAATAAGAAGCGAAAAAGGTGCACAAACTAACGGGCAAGAGCATGCTCTTTATAGGCAAGTAAATCAACAGTTGATGTGAGACAAAAACTTCAATTACTTAAATTGAAGAATAAAAAAATGAGGACAAGTTCTCCTCATCCCTAGCATGTGGGTTTGGTCAAATCAAATACTCGATTGTTTATTCATCCCAAAATCTTTCTCTCAGATGAACTGACTTTATCTCCGATTAGGCGATTAGTTTAATGGCTTAGCTATAGATCCTCATTACTCCTCCATGAATAGATATATTCAGGACACTTGCAATAGTGGTAAACAGCAGTGATGACCTTCTCATTTTTATTATAATTTTATCGGCTTAACGATGTTTATAGCCGTAGGATTGGTGATGAATCATGAAATTGAAGGCACAAATTCAATTTTTTTGGACTCCCAAATTATTTCAATAACAAGCTACGCATTTTTTTAAATATCATTACAACTCCAATATTATGGGCTTATCATTATTCTTAACTTACATTATCATTTACCCGATTTATTAATATAGGGAATATAGTAATCCATAAATATATAACACCGACTTAGAAATAATTTTTTTTTTTCTAAAATCCGGTTAGGGATCAAGAAAGAGAGGAATATGCCAGGCAGTCACTTGATAATCAAGCAAGCGGCTAGGGCCATGTACAGTTGTCTGATAGGTGTTCCAGGAAAAAAAAGATTAAGTTACCTGTGTGTAATAGGGTTGGAACCTTGATTTTTCGGTAATGGGTTAAACATAGCCCTAGGTTAATCAATTTGTTTGACTTTTAAGGTTGACTCTATGATATATTATTCTGTAGTAGAGATTTTTCATAATCTAGCTTAAATTTTGGATAAGTGTCTTCTTGTACATATTTTTAACGTATAGTCAGTTAATTAGATAATCTACATTATTCATTTTTATTTATTATTATTATTTTTTTTGTAACCGGGGTGCTCGAACCAGCTTATGTGCACCTCAACTAATCATCGCAATTTGCTGAACACTTTATAAACCCAAGGGACTAGATAAACCACAATATTATTATGGTAGGTAACTCTAAGGTTTAAACCCAGAAACTCAAATAATGGAGTAAGCCTTCTTGATCCTAGGCCAACCCTTTGAGGTTTACATTCTTCATTTTGCATTATACTTGTAGAGATTTTTCAAAATCTTATTATCTTTGCATATTATTATGTTTTTTGATTTCAATACATTGTATGAAAGGAGACGTTGGATTTTATGTAGATATACAATACAAAACCTCATATATTTTAATTTGTTTTTGTATATTGTCAATGTTAAATATTTTCCTAAGATAAAGCATATATTGAGAAAATATTTGACGCAACGTATCTTTTAGTAATATATCATTGAATATTGATGCTTCTAATTAGGGAGCAATTAATCATTTATTTAATATATGGAGATGGAATAAATTAAATCTCCATTCATGACGCACACACGCATACAAACTTAGAAAACAATCAAACAAAGAAAATGATCATTTTTTTAAGCGTATATAGGAATAGGATGATTCCCGGAAATCTTGAAATGCACATGAAAATAATTGGATCAGCATTTTTTTTTTTTTTTTTTATATAATGAAAACTGTTAGGGTCCCACACCGACTAGACACGCTCAAGCCTAGTGATTTATAAAAGGAGGTAATCCTCCCATTCAATAAGACATTATTGAAATCTTGAAATGCACATGAAAATAATTGGATCAGCATTTTTTTTTTATATAATGAAAACTGTTAGAGTCCCACACCGACTAGACACGCTCAAGCCTAGTGATTTATAAAAGGAGGTAATCCTCCCATTCAATAAGACATTATTGGGTGAGGAGTTAGACCCACCTCAAGTTGTATCATGATAAAATTTGAGGTAGGTCTGACTCCTCACCCAATAAGACCTTGTTGGGTGAGGAGTCAGGCTACCTCAAGTTCTATTCTGGTATCAAAATCAAATTCAGTTGAGCTGAGTGCTTGACAAGCGAGTGAGGAGATAAAGCAAGCAACTACATTCATACTCATCTCAAGTTCTATCATGATATCAGAGTCACGTTTAGTTGAGTCGACGTTTGCTGGTCAGAAGCTTGCTAATTAAATATTTTTATGTAGACATGTAGATGTATAATAAATAGTTATAACATTGATATCATTAAGGAAAAATACCTGGATTATCTTTGCATTTTTTGAGATCGAAATTACCTTAGTGCAAAGTTGGCTAATTATGCACAAAAATTTGCAGGAGTTTAGCACCATTTTGTCTTTTTAAGTTTAATTTAAGCAATTTTTTTTTTTTTTTTTTTTTGAAAAATACAAATTTCATAAAAGAAGAGAAGTTATATAGAAAGTAGGGGCATATCCTCATAAGAGGTCTAAAGAAGACCAAAACAAATGTACCCATTTTTTTGGACAAAAGGATGTGGACAAATGCCCAAAAGGGAAAACGCAGGCTCCTAACAAAGGAGAGAGATGGGCATAGGCGTCCTAACGGAGCTCGTAGGCTCAAATCAAACAAAAAAGAGAAAACGGGCATAGACGCCTGGCAAGAGTGTAGAGGCTCAGGACAAATCATGAAATCAAGTAAGGAAATAACATTAACCCATTAAGCGAATCCTTTTTTTAGGAAATGACATTAACCCATTAATTGGTTGGCTACCATTCATACCTTGGATACTTATGAACGAATTGAAAGATATGAAAACCAAAATAACAGTAAACAAACAAACACAAATAATAAAGAGAAAGAAGAAATATGCATGATTTTATCCTAGTTCACCCAATTAACAGGCTATATTTAGCTGAGTCAATATTATTGTAATCCTGCTTCACCGCTCTCGTTTACAATGAATGTAATTTACCTTATTGTTTGCTATCACTCATTACAAGAAAAAGATATGTTTATATACTAGGTTTAAAAGATTAAAACATAGTATTATAAGGATTTCGATTCCTAAATCATAAGCCCAAACTCAATAAAGAATTAATAACTTAAAGAAATCCTTCCGCGGCTCTTCATGGACCCCCGAATGTGTTTGCTTGGCCCTAATGTTGAAATAGTCAACACCTCCAACAACTTATTTCACAAATCATGAAATCAAAGTGCTATTTATGAATAGAACAATTAATCAATAAGCTTAATTTTCTGAGCATATAATAATAAAATAATGCTAGCCTTACTCCCCCTTCTTACTCCCTTATGTGGTAGTTGACATGGCAGTGGCTACCTCATCTGTTAGGTCATCCAACTGCCACGTACATTCCCCAAAATTTTTAAAAATTAAATTTTTACTTCCCTAAATTTACAATTACTAATATTTTTAAAGTTAAATTTTATCCCAATGTTCTTAAAAATAAAATTTCTCTTTCCCTAAATTTGCAATTCCCAATTTTTTTAAAAATAAAATTTATGCTTCCAGGGTTTATCTCAGCCATTGTAAATGGTGAATTTAAACAAGGCAATGAAGCTTGATTTCATGATGATCGATCTCTAGCTAGCTCGTAACAACTCAAAATTATGATATAGCATAACACTCAGGTGTTGTTTTTTTTAGAATTTGAATGAAATTCAAGCCAGTGGAGACCACATTATATAGCCATTCCAAAACCAACAGTCCACCAGGAATCTTGTAGAGAAACTTACTGAAAAGTTATCTTTCAAAAGCCAGTTCTCTACATGTTTCATTAATGTTGAAGAAGAAGAACTAAATTAAAAGTTTAAGTCAGCCAATTATTGAAGTAATTCATTGAATATTCATGAATAATTTGCCAAATAATACGAATTTGTTAAGAGGATAATATGTGGGTGCAATCAAATTATACCTTCTTTTTCTTAATTATAAATCGATTGCCTTCATCCTTTCATTATAATTAATATTTATCTTTAGATGTCCAGTCAACATAAACTTATATATGTTGTGCCTCAGGGGCGGATCCAGCCCCTTTGAGGGCCTACCCTCAAGTTTAAAAAAATATATATTAATATATAGATCTACAAAAATTGCTATTAATATATAGGAAAATAATATAGTTATCAAAAGGAGCGCACCGAATTCATGCACCGAATGACGTGGTACAATCTTGACCGTCGATTAATTATGAGTTAATATTAATCGATGGTCAGGATTGCATCACGTCATTCGGTGCATGAATTCGGTGCGCTCCTTTCGGTAACTGTAACATTACTCTAATATATATACTCAAGTTCACCCTTGGATTTAAAAAAAATTAGAATTATTATACATATATCTAGGCCCACAAAAAACTTGTTATTAATATGAATAACACTAGCCTTACAAAGAGGCATACAAAGAGACAATCCCTACCCTTAAAATTCATGATTGCCTTTTTCTCTCTCTCTTTTTCCCTTCTTTTAAGGGCAGTGATTATCTCTTTGTATGACTTTTTGTATGCCTCTTTGTAAAGCTAGTGTTACTCTATTAATATATATATTCCAAGCCCACATCATATTAAAAGTTTAAAACTCTCTCCACTCTTCTTCCGACTCCACTTGCTTTTTATGATTTTATTCCCAAAATTCTTTACTCTTTCATTCTCTCTTTCTCTTCCTCATGCTATTCAATTTTAAAACTTTTCAAGACGGAAATTGTTGAAGTTTTTACTACTAAAGGTGTCATAATTAGTTTTATTTTCTGTTTTATCAGTTTTAGGTATGTGTATTGCTCCTTTCAATTTAGTTTATTTTAGGGTTGAATCAAATTTTTTTTTTTTTTTTTTTGAGGTTTTTTATTCTAATTTGAGGGGAAAAGACATGAATCTTGTGAGTTTCTTTTGTATTTTGTATCTAAGAATGAACTTGTTTTTTCAAATTAAAACCTTAACTATATTTTAAAAGATGTTATTTGCTGAGCACAAAAAGGGAAGACCTACTCGACTCCCTAAAATGGCAGATGCCATCGTAATGGAAAAAGAAAAACTTGGTCTTGTATGTCCCGACATTACTGGGGTAATTAA